CCATTGAAGAGCCTGTGATTCAATTGTATACACACAGCCATGCACATGCTTCATCTTTTTCTCATCACTGTATAATTGGCTTATTTTGCTACATTAGTGGCTAATTAGTACTCTGAGAACCCGAACATTCGGCCATAGTGGCAATATGCAATGTTTCCCATATTAGGCAAGGCTAGCGATGTTCCTGCGAGGGCTATATAAAGCCGGGAGAAATGCTACATAGTTCAAACAAGAATACAACTCCTGACAAATACAAGTACAACAATGGCTCTTACTAAGGATACACGTCTCCCATTGAACAACGGTAAAACAATTCCAGTTAGTGGGTTTGGTCTTTACCAAACACCACCAGAACAAACAAGAAAGCTTACATATGAGGCATTGCAAGTTGGCTACAGACACATTGACAGTGCAAGAGCCTACAACAACGAAGCCGAGGCGGCTCAAGGTATTGCTAACTTTTTGAAAGATTATCCAGATGTTAAGAGGGAGGACATCTTCTTCACAACAAAGGTTTTCAGTCGTGATCCCCGTACCTATGACGAATTCGTTTCCGATATTGAAGATTCCTACAACAAGATCAAGGATTCCATTGGGTACATCGATCTCTTCTTGGTTCATGCACCACTTCCAGATAAGAGTACAAGACTTGCAGTGTATGAAGCACTTCAAGATGCTGTTGAAAAGGGCTACACCAAATCTATTGGTATCTCTAATTATGGTGTTCGTCATGTTGAGGAACTTTTCGCCTGGGACAAGTTTAAAATCAAGCCGGTCGTTAACCAATTGGAATTGCATCCTTGGTTGCCACGTAAAGACCTCCAAGAGGCTGGAAAGAAGTATGGCTTTTTGCTAGAGGCATACTCCCCTCTGACTCAAGGTAAGAAGTTGGATGCTCCTGAGCTTGTGGAAATTGCAGAGAAGCATGGTATCAGCACGGCTGATGTTTTGTTGGCGTGGAGTTATGAGCAAGGATTCGTTCCATTGGCGAAGACTGTTCATACCGAGAGAATCAAAACCAACTATACCGTCTTGGACAGAGTCACCTTGGATGATGAAGATAACAAGCTGCTCGAGAAGCCAGAATCGTACGAAGTTCTTACTTGGGATCCTACTGTTACCCCATAAACTGCTTGACTTTTAAACTTATTCTTTTACGTATATAGCATCGATTATCACACTGTTGGATGCGCAATACTCTTACATGTAGATGATTTGTCATGAAGGTCTATACGTCGCATGTTATGACAACTCTCTGATAATAGAAGTACCTCTATGAACCCTCCTCCAGTTAGGAACTAACGTCAAAATCTCTCTGTCCGCTGTTTATTTCCTCTGTTTACCGTAACTACAGCTCGTTATATTCTTGATGTCATGTACCAACTCGGCAGGTTGTAGCTGAGGACTTGGTGGGATACTTCACATAGAGAGCTGTTTCTAATGCTTATATTGCACCAATGAAATACGTACACCAGATGCTTACGGTGCGTGAGTGTTGCATGTCTATAGCGATACCAAGAGGCTTCTGTAATGACTCAACAACGGAATGAATAATCTCTGACACCTAACTTGTCTGTTGTATCAAAGGCATAATATAGCTTAGTACTTTTGACGGCTGTTAAATTTCTGCGTTTCAGGCGATCAACTAATGCGGTTTTAGCTCAGTCGGGAGAGCGCATGACTGAAGATCATGAGGTCCTGTGTTCAATCCACAGAAGTCGCATTTTTTTTTTTTGAAGTTTTATATAATCACAATGGATATGCACAAGGAAATTTACCTGCATCGATCTCATCTCATGGAATCCAATCAAACACAATGTTCATTTCATAAGTAGAACATTTCTTGATGATCATATGATACTTAAAGGTAAGCAAATTTATAGGAGTAGAAGAAGGGAGCACTGCTCCTGCGCCATGTTCATCAGCGACTCCCACACAATGATTGGGTCATTTGATCGTTCCACCCTTCAAGTATTTTTTATTCCAAACGTGTGTAACAGCTTTCTGAACATGGACGACAAGCTTTAACCAATGTATCTAAGATTCTAGACTCTGTTCCTATTTTATTACCCCGTTTCTCCATTTCTCTCAGAATAGACAAGACAGATTACTACCTGAAAAGTCATACACTGCAAGAATATCGTATAACAAACAGCATTATTCATTGTCCACTTGTATAGGAAGTTAATTTGACAATGAACCAGATATCACATGTGACTCTTTGCTGAGTATCTGAGCCATTGTGGTTAAATCTTGCTGAGGGAACTTGTCTTCTTCGGCGCCATTGACTCTGATTATTCTCCATTGATATCATCGAAAATGTCCGATCCATCTGAGCTTCGCATAATGAGCTCGAAATGCAACAAAACCTTGCAGATCGAAACCAGTCTTGTCTGGATCAAATTTAATGATTTAAGCTGAGTCCCCCGATTTAATGCCTCTGTTTGAAATAATTGAACTTATTATTAGTGATTAAAATTAATGATTAAGATATAATGATTAAAATTATGGATCTTACAATTTTTTGAAGAAAATAACTGAGTCTACTTTATTTATAAAAATTTAATTACGTACAAATACACCATAAATTCATATTTCAGTAAATTATCTCAAAAGTGTGAAGTATTCGTTACCAAAACCTCAATATCACATTATCACGACATAATCATCCTTATTGAAAGGAAATTATAACCAATAATTCATACTTCACAATTCAAATTGATCCACAGTACTACGAACTTGTTTTCCATATAACTATAACTTCAGATTATAACACCGTTGATTATGTTTGTAGTCTGCGAATAGCTGGGATACAATTATACTTCAATCAATCATTAACTACGTATAAGAGTATCAGCTTATGTTGGAAAATCGTTTCAGCCTCCCTGGCCGTGGATAGAATATATGATCTGGTATGGTCTAAAGAAGAGAACGTACGTTAAACGACACACGGAGTAGCTCAAACGAAATACGGAACAACTCATATGCGATACACACAACCTTGATTCGGCAAGTGATCAAGTCGAACACACTATACGTGCAGCCATGCTTTAGATATACCCATTTTCATGGCCTTTTCGTAAAATGTCTCTTTGCATAAGAGATGACCTGTAGTTTTCCTTCTTCGGTAACAAACATCTTCTTCTTGTTGTTATCACTCCAAAGAAGACAACCAATCTCTTCCGAGTACTTTCTCAACATTTCGTATTCTTCAAGGGATGAGAAATCTGTGAATAATGAACCTTCAAAGGCAACAATTCTATCCAGTTCTAATTGCCAAAGTTTGATTTGATCTTTAATCGTTGGTTGCAGAATCTCTAGAGAGGTATTAGTTTGTTCTCCAGTCTCCAGTCTCTTACCGAGTTGCTCCTCTGCCGATTTGATCATCTGGGGATGAGCATGCGTTTCCAAATATGTGATGATCTGTTCAGCGGTGATACCGTTCAACAAGGCGTTTCTAATCGATTCCCTCGTTATCTGACCAGTGACGAGATTCGCAAATCTTTGCTTCAAATGGACGAATAAGTTAAGAATAGCGATCTGCAATGGTGAGTTTGTATATGCGTAAAGCTTGAAGTTTGTTTCGATGATGATGGTTCCTGCGTTCTCGAAAGAGACGTTGGATGCGGAGCGATCTTTGGCACGTTCTATGGCTTTATTCATTGCTGCTGATGCTGTGCGTAGTGTGGAGGCGTCTGAGGTCAACGTCGTTGCCAATCTTGTAGGATAAAACCTTCTTGAGGTGGATTTTCTCTGATATATCAACCCATAGTCTCTAAGATCACTCACCATATTTACCTGGGTTTCGTTCAAGGTTGACAGCGAATAGTCCTTCCCCAATTCAAGCGAACCTAGCATGAATATGAAGTTCAACACGTCAACTGGGTCCATTTGTAACGTTTCAGCCATTCTCAAGTATTGTAGCAACAAGGCCCACAGCTGCGCATTGACATCTTGCAATAGGAACTGGAATCCTTCATTGGTGATCTTCATGGCATTAGGAGTTTTGCCAATCATAAGCCCACTATGCCTTAGTAATGTCAGCACTGCCTGGTTCGGTATCTCCTCCAACTCGGTGCCCACCATGAAGTGGAGAATCGTTTCCCACTTGTTCGCAGCGTACTTGTCGAGAAAGTCAACGTCAACTTTATGCGTATCGCTAGCCTCACACACAACCCCAAACGAGTTCTCACTCTCGGATCCCGTCAACACCAGTCTAAAACTTGTTCTGAAAACAGGGTTCAACACCGCAATGGAGTTGTTCTCTTTAATCAGATGTAGCGCCTTTAAGGCCCGTATGGCTTCAGCTTTCTCCATCTTACCGTTCGAATTGATCCAGCTGTCAAAGTCTTGAACCAGCACGCGCTTCTCATTGAATATCATAGATGTGACGTAGAACTTGGCCAGGCTGGGAAGCAGTCTGAAGATGGACAGACATGTTGCGGGCTTGTCCGACGTGTTAGTACACACAGCGTAGAGAGAAAGGATAGCCGGGAAAGAACAACAACCACAACACATACCGTGTGATACAGCCTGGTCTGAACAGACTCAGGCAGGCCTTCCAGATACTGGTTAACACTGAGCTTTGAGGCCATCGATGCGACGTCTTTAGTGCGAAAGTTGCCTCGAGAACAGGGCCCTTGATGCTTCCTTGGTGATGTTTCCTTGGTGATGTTTCCTTGGTGATGAAGTCAAAGCTGGAATGCTCCCTTTGGCGATGATGCGGCGCGTACCGGAAACCGATCAGCACCAGAAAATTTTCTCTGGGTGGGCTCTGAAGATTCGATCATGGAACAAGAAGCAAAGGTTTCGGAACCAGGGAGAAAGGCCAGTGGAGGTTTCCCGTTACAATGCCACCAAAGAGAAGAGACTCCGTGCGCCAGGGCTCGTCGAGGCACAGCGTGAAGAGCGCTGCGTCGGATGAGAGCTTCAACGAGCTCCTGAAGCCTATGTATAAGGGGAAGGCATTGACCGATGAGATCAATACCGCCGAGGATAAATGGAACCTTTTGCCTGCTTTCCTGAAGGTGAAGGGGCTTGTCAAGCAGCATCTGGACTCTTTCAACTACTTTGTGGACGTTGACCTGAAGAAGATCATCAAGGCCAATGAAAAGGTGTTGAGTGATGTGGATCCGGACTTCTACCTCAAGTACCTGGACATTAGGGTTGGCTATAAACATGGAGCCACGGAAATGGACCCCATTCTGCCGCCTCATGAGTGCCGTCTGAGAGACTTGACGTATAGTGCTCCGATATACGTTGATGTGGAATACACAAGAGGCAGAAAGGTGTACAGCAACAAGAACTTGGAGATTGGAAAGATGCCAATCATGTTGAGATCTAATAAGTGTACTTTGAATGGCGCATCGGAGGGGAGAATGGCGAGCCTGGATGAGTGTCCATTGGACCCAGGTGGTTATTTCATCGTCAACGGTACAGAAAAGGTGATCCTTGTTCAAGAACAGCTGAGTAAGAACCGTATCATTGTCGAGGCTGATGAAAAGAAGGGAATCGTGCAAGCCTCCGTGACTTCTTCTACGCACGAGAGAAAGTCCAAGACCTATGTCGTCACCAAAAACGACAAGATTTACCTGAAACATAACTCTATCGGTGAGGAAGTGCCGATTGTCGTCATTTTGAAAGCTGCCGGTGTCACATCCGACTTGGAAATCATGCAATTGGTGTGTGGTGACAATGCCACTTACCAGGACTTGTTCGCCATCAACTTTGAAGAATGCGCTAAGTTGGGTATTTACACCCAGCAACAGGCTCTGGAGTACCTCGGTGCTAAAGTGAAGACCATGAGAAGACACAAATTGACAACATTGCAAGAGGGTATCGAGGCTGTTGCAACTACAATCATTGCGCACCTTACTGTAACGGATCTGGATTTCAAAGAGAAGGCTCTGTACATTGCAATGATGACCAGAAGAGTCATAATGGCCATGGACAATCCAAAAATGGTCGATGACAGGGATTACGTGGGTAACAAACGTTTGGAATTAGCTGGTCAATTGATGTCGTTGCTATTTGAGGATTTGTTCAAGAAGTTCAACTCTGACTTTAAGGCTAACATTGATAAGATCCTGAAGAAGCCAAACAGAGCCACGGAGTTCAATGCGCTTTTGTCCATCAATGTCCATTCGAACAATATCACATCTGGTTTGAATAGAGCCATCTCCACGGGAAATTGGTCCCTGAAACGTTTCAAGATGGAAAGAGCCGGTGTTACACATGTGCTCAGTAGACTCAGTTATGTGTCAGCGTTGGGTATGATGACAAGAATCTCCTCCCAATTCGAGAAGTCTAGAAAAGTGTCTGGTCCGAGAGCACTGCAACCCTCACAGTTTGGTATGCTTTGTACATCCGATACGCCTGAAGGTGAAGCATGTGGTTTGGTGAAGAACTTGGCCCTAATGACACACATCACTACTGATGATGAAGAAGAACCCATCAAAAAGCTGTGTTTCCTGATTGGTGTGGAGAACATATCAGCGATTGATAGTTCAACGTTGCATTCAAACTTTGGTGTTTACTTGAATGGTACGCTAATAGGTACTACCAGATTCCCATCCAAGTTTGTCACCCAGTTCAGAAAATTGAGACGTACTGGTAGGATCTCTGAATTTATTTCAATTTATACAAACTCTCATCAAAATGCTGTTCATATAGCGACTGATGGTGGAAGAATTTGTCGTCCTTTAATCATTGTTGAAAACGGTGCCTCTAAGGTCAAAGCTCACCATCTTCTCAAGCTCAAGCAGGGAAGAATGCAATTTGACGATTTCCTGAAACAAGGCCTTGTTGAGTACCTTGATGTCAATGAAGAGAATGATTGTTTCATTGCTCTTTATGAAAAAGACCTCTCTGAACAAATCACACACCTGGAGATTGAACCATTTACTGTTTTGGGTGCCGTGGCAGGGTTGATTCCATATCCACATCATAACCAGTCTCCACGTAACACATATCAATGTGCGATGGGTAAGCAAGCCATTGGTGCTATTGCTTATAACCAATTCAAGCGTATAGATACATTGTTATACCTGATGGTTTATCCACAGCAGCCAATGGTCAAGACAAAGACAATTGAATTGATTGACTACGACAAATTACCTGCTGGTCAAAACGCCACTGTTGCCGTTATGTCATACTCAGGTTACGATATTGAAGATGCACTGGTGTTGAACAAGGCTTCCATCGATAGAGGGTTTGGACGTTGCCAAGTTTTACGTAAGAACACCACAGTCCTCAAGAGATACCCAAACCATACACAGGATATCGTCGGAGGTATGAGAGTGAATGAGAATAATGAGCCTATCTTCCAACATGCCTCCTTAGGTCCAGATGGTCTTGGTGAAGTTGGTTGCAGAGTGGAGAGTGGTCAAGTCTACATTAACAAGTCTGTTCCGACAAACGCAGGTGAAAGTGTGATGAACCACAGTGAAAGCACCCATAGAGAGACTCCAGTATTCTACAAGGCACCAGAACCAAGTTACATCGACCAAGTGATGATGTCTGTTTCTGACAATGAACAAGCTTTGATTAAAGTGCTGTTGAGACAAACTAGAAGACCGGAGCTTGGTGATAAGTTCTCATCTCGTCACGGTCAGAAGGGTGTCTGTGGTATTATTGTACAGCAGGAAGATCTACCTTTCAACGATGATGGTATTTCACCAGATATCATTATGAATCCTCACGGTTTCCCATCTCGTATGACTGTCGGTAAGATGATTGAACTTATTAGTGGTAAGGCTGGTGTTTTGAATGGCTCTTTGGAGTATGGTACTTGTTTTGGAGGTTCGAAGCTTGAGGACATGTCCAAGATCCTCGTGGATAACGGCTTCAACTACTCTGGTAAAGATATGCTGTACTCTGGTATCACTGGTGAGTGTCTCCAGGCTTACATCTTCTTTGGTCCAATCTATTATCAAAAACTGAAACACATGGTGCTGGACAAGATGCACGCAAGAGCCAGAGGTCCAAGGGCTGTGTTAACCAGACAGCCTACCGAAGGTAGATCCAGAGATGGTGGTTTGAGACTGGGTGAGATGGAGAGAGATTGTGTTATTGCATATGGTGCTTCGCAGCTGTTGTTGGAGAGATTGATGCTGTCCTCTGATGCGTTCGAAGTTGACATCTGCGACAAGTGTGGTTTGATGGGATATAACGGATGGTGTACCAGTTGTAAAACTGCAGAGCATGTTGTTAAGATGACAATTCCATATGCTGCAAAACTGTTATTCCAGGAGTTGTTATCAATGAACATTGCCCCAAGATTGAAGTTAGAGGATGTATTTTAAAACGGTTCGTTATATGTGCATTAGGAAGGGTTCATATATACGGATTGTCTATAATCAATATAATTTTGCATAGAGAATCTATTCTGTAGCTGTGTGATCGTCTGGGAAAACCAATTTATAATCCAGCTTCAGTCGTTTGTATAGATCTCTCATGGTGAACTCCTCCGTATCACTGTCTTCAGCATCAGAACTTGCTAAGCGTCTTTCTAGCGTTTGCAAGTCCTTTTGCCTCTCAGCCTCCAACCCTTCTATTATCTTTAGCTGCTCGTCTTCTCCTAAAGATTGATATTCACCACAGGAGGTCACTCCAGCGATTCGTCCATCGTACTCAAAGTCGATGCTATTGATGCTCTTCTCTTTCAACCTCGTTCTTTCAAGCCTCTTGAGCTCACACTTACCTCCAGACTTGTTGACTTTCTCCACGGCGGCTTCTAGAACTTGGTCCGAGGCCCTCTGTGCAATATCTCTCCATTTGACAATGAGGTCCTCAGTCGACCTGGTTTCACCTTTGAGAAGGATCGCCTTTGCCCTTCTAAGCGTTTCCAATCTAGACTGGAGCCTCCGTATGTCGGAGTCGAGGCGTGATTCCTTCCTCTTGAGCTCTTTGATATTCAACCTTGGAGTGCTTTCATCTTCAACGTCGAGACGAGACGACAAGTGTGGATTGTCGGTTTCGATCAGCGTGTTTATAGGGGAGGGAAGTATCTTGTCCATTCTCTTGTGCTGTGTCCCGCCTAGGCGTCTCATACCGGTCGTTTCCCTCGCGTCGACTCCACCATCTTCCAGCCTCCTCTTCCGTACACTCTCGCCGCTGGCAGATATCGACTTCTCCGGCGTTTCGTAGACATCACGCATCTGTCCTTGTTGAGAGCTTAGAAGCTCCTTCACTTACACACACTAGTCAACGCCACTGGCATTAGCTGCTACACCGTAGCTGCCCCCCAGGCGACAATCCCAAGGCCCCGCGAAAATCACCGCTGCTAGTGGTGTGCCAGCCTACGGGCCAGCCTACGGGCCAGCTGCGGCCTGCCTACAGACGTCTGCCTAAGCACAATCCACCTTTTCGACGAGAGATCCACGCCACCCTCCCTGTCCAATTGGCTGAGCTGCTACATAGTTCTCACCAACAGTGTCCGTGTGAAACCGTAGCTATAGACACCGTTACCTGAAACCATGGTGATACGTTCGTAGGCGATGAAACAGCACGCCAGCACACAAGACGCACATAATTTACCGAATGCGGATGTGAATCGCCTACGAACGTATCAGTCCAAGGGTCTTGAGCGCTGTAGGCAATGCTGTAGGCAGATCAAAGCCACCAGGCCTTCCACAGATCTGTTGGCCTGTGGCTGTTTATAAGCAGCTCTTCTTCACTACCGGTGCTGATTGCTCTGATTATCGAAGCACACACTCAGAGCTCAAGCTCATCGCAACGGAGCCTCTTTTATCTCCACGCCCTACAGAGTACACAAAATTCGTAATCACATCGACAGAGAAGGCACAAGAGCCCTACAGCGCTGAGCAGCAGTACCCACGGAAAGAACCCTCTTCGCTTTACAGAACACTTACACATGTCAGGTTCCCTGGTAGAAGACCTGGACGGCTCCAGCACAGCGCTCACGCCGTCGTACATCGTTGAAAGGCTTTCTGGCTTGACACATGGGCTGGACGCCACCGTTGACTTGGAGGCCGTGGCACAGCGGGTATGCTCTGCTGTGCCAGATAGCATCACCACTGACCAGCTGGTGGAGCTCACGTCGGAGACGTTGGCCACGATGAACACGATACACCCGAACCACTCTGTACTGGCCGCAAGGTTTACGCTCCAGCACACGAGGACGAAGATACCGGGGACGTTTAGTGAGAACTGTGAAAGGTTGTATCGCTATACAAACCCCAGGACGAAGAAGCACTCGCCATTAATCTCGGAAGAGCTGTATAGTCTCTCGAAACTACACGCTGAGGTGATAGATAGGGCTATTGTTGAGGCCAGGGATGACGATTACAACTACTTTGCTATCATGACTTTGCAAAAGTCATATTTCCTGAAGGTTGATGCGTTGATAGCTGAAACACCTCAGTTTATGTTTATGCGTGTCAGCTTGGGGATACATGGTAAGGACATAGAGTCTGCTGTCCAGACCTATGACATGATGTCCCAGAGGTTATTTACACACGCGTCTCCGACGTTGTTCAACTCAGGAACGCCTATGCCGTTCTTGTCCTCGTGCTTCCTCTTGGGGATAATGGACGACTCAATAGATGGGATATACAAATCCTTACATAAATGTGCACTCATTTCGAAGGCTGCTGGTGGCTTGGGGATACACGCCTCAAATATAAGGGCCCAGGGATCCTATATCGCTGGTACAAATGGCACTTCCAATGGAATAGTTCCAATGTTGAGAGTGTTTAACAATACAGCCAGGTATGTGGATCAAGGTGGGAATAAGAGGCCAGGGGCCTTTGCAATATACTTGGAACCATGGCATGCTGATGTCTTTGAGTTCCTGGATCTTCGGAAGAACCATGGGAAGGAGGAACTGCGAGCAAGAGATCTGTTCTATGCCTTGTGGATACCTGATTTGTTTATGGAAAAAGTGCAAAATAATGAAGAATGGAATCTCTTCTCTCCTGATCAGGCAAGAGGACTCAATGAGACGTATGGAGATGACTTCAAGAGGTTGTATGAGAAGTACAGCGAGGAAGGCCTTGCTATGAAAACCGTCAAAGCACAGAGGCTCTGGAACGCCATTTTAGAGAGCCAAGTGGAAACTGGTGGGCCATTCATGCTTTATAAGGACGCTTGTAACAAGAAGAGCAACCAAAAAAACTTGGGAACAATCAAATCTTCAAACCTATGCTGTGAAATTGTTCAGTATAGTTCTGCAGAAGAAATTGCTGTTTGTAATCTAGCTTCCGTGGCTTTGCCGTCATTTGTTGAGACAGTTGATGAATCTGTGTGGATGAATTATAGCAAGCTCCACGAGGTTGTCAAAGTGATTACGAGGAATTTAAACAAAGTCATTGATGTTGGAATGTACCCCTTGGAGGAGGCAAAGACCAGCAATTTGAAAAATAGACCAATGGCAATTGGGGTGCAAGGTTTAGCAGATCTGTTCATGGAGTTACGTTTGCCCTTTGAGTCCGAAGACGCTAAAAAGTTGAATATCAACATCTTTGAAACTATATATCACGCTGCCTTGGAAGCCTCAATAGAGCTCGCTAAAGAGTATGGACCCTATAAGAGTTATGAAGGGTCACCAGCTTCAAAGGGGATTTTGCAATTCGATATGTGGAATCATAACCCTTCGAACATGTACGATTGGGACTTGATGAAAGATGATATAAAACGCTATGGACTAAGGAACTCTTTATTGGTGGGACCAATGCCTACAGCATCGACCTCACAGATCTTGGGGTTCAATGAGTGCTTCGAGCCAATAACTTCGAATATATACACTCGAAGGGTACTCTCCGGCGAGTTCCAAGTGGTTAACAGATACTTGGTGAATGATCTTATCGAGCTTGGGTTATGGGACCAGGATATGAAGAATCGAATTGTCGACGACGAAGGTTCCATCCAGAACATTGACATCATTCCACAGACTTTGAAAGAGCTGTACAAGACCGTATGGGAGATCCCTCAGCGCACAGTAATTGACCTCGCGGTCGACCGTGCGCCTTTCATCGACCAATCCCAATCCATGAACATTTACATGAGAAGTCCCACTGTTGGGAAGCTAACCTCCATGCACTTCTACGGATGGAAAAAGGGACTCAAGACAGGGATGTACTATCTCAGAACAATGGCAGCATCGTCAGCGATAAAATTCACCATTGACAGGAGCTTGGTATCTAACGAACGACAATTCAAGGGCTCACCCTCGTTGAGTAAGAGGGTATACTCGCCCTCCAGATCACGACCTCAGCTGCCGGTCAAAAGGTTCCAATTGAGGTCTCTAACCGCATCACCGGAAAGTGAGGGCAGTAACGTGGCTTCCTACAATGAAACTGGCACTCCTCTCAGTTGCAAACTGGACCTTCTCAACGACGACGATTCGGTATGTGATAGCTGTTCTGGCTGACAGAGTTCTCGGTATGACGTATGCTACTCTGGTTACGCGTATGCTACTCTGGTTACGCGTATGCTACTTTGGTTACGCGTCGACAGATAAGCAGTTAGAGCCCTTATCAGCAGATTAGGTACGGGCAACAAAACATGTCTCGAGAAGGGGAAGAGGCACAAATTAGGAAGAGACGTTGTTCTTCCTCTCTTCACCACCTGTGCCGTCTTCCAAGTAAGATACAATCCAAAGGTATACGAAGATCACGATGGTTTCATTCTCTCCGAATACCTATTTACGCTCATTATTCCAAGACCCACTGGCCCTGCTCACTTCTGCGCTGGCTACAAGCTCTGTGGCCACCAGGGGCAATGTGCCATCTTGTCCCATAGACACGCCATGGAGTTGTTCGAATGACACTGTTGTCGGCGATCTCTGTTGCTTTGAGTACCCTGGTGGAGTTGTGTTGCAAACGCAGTTCTGGGACTACAACCCTGCGATTGGCCCAGACGATAAGTGGACTGCGCATGGACTGTGGCCGGATAACTGCGATGGCTCGTTTGAACAGTTCTGCGACCCGTCGTTAGAGGTTCACGATATTGCTTCTATTATCGAGGAGCACGATCCGGCACTCTTGAAGGAGATGTACGGCTTATGGAAGGATTTCCGTGGTGACGATGCAAATCTGTGGAAGCATGAATGGAACAAGCACGGTACATGCTATACAACGTTGAAGCCAACCTGCTACGGTGGCTCCATAGAGAAGAACAAGAACGTCTTTGACTACTTCAACATCACCATGAACCTCTACAGACAACTTCCAACATATGATTGGCTTGCAGATGCTGGTATTGTGCCATCGGAAACAAAGACCTATAGCAAGGAGGAGATTCTCTCTGTGCTGAAAGAGAGATCTGGTGCGGAGCCTTATATCAGATGCGATTATAAAAACGCGTTCCAAGAAGTCTGGTACTTCCATCACTTGAAGGGCTCTCTATTGGGTGAAAACTTCACCCCTATTGATACGTTGACTAATTCCAGATGTGGTGCAACAGGCATCAGATACATGCCAAAGGGTTCGTCAATCACCACTTCGTTATCACCTACTCGTACATATCCACAACCACAACCTACTGGCGACAAGAATGCAGGATTCCTTGTTCTCTCTGGTCAGCCTGGGTGTCTCATCAAGAGTGGTAAATGGTATGTCAGTGGAACGTGTGCCACGTACAGACTCACACAGCTAACCACGGGCTCATACACTCTGAAGAACAACGCAGGTTTGTGCACTTTAAAAGACAACACGTTCCATTGTGGTGCAGACGTGAAGTCACCTTTCGAATTCGACTATGACGAAGAATCAAAGGTCTTGAGTGCCAATGGAGTGGATACTTTTAGCGCAGATAAAGTACCAACAAGGTTTGAGCAGGTGGACATCAGCAAAGGACCAGGGAACGTTGAATTCCAACTGAGATGGAAGCCTAGATGGTGATGGTGGGTAACTGTTTCTGGCTCCTATCCACTTTCCGACGATACTTTTATGCATAGAGATGTAAGTCGCAGCCATTTTGGAGGATTTACAACACCTGCGTGGGAGTTCCCACGTTTCATTATTTCAATCAAGTTCTAAATTCAAAAGGTTTGTGCAATACATTACGCAATGACATTGTAGAGGGAAATACCTTGATTGGAGTGTTACTCAAATATCCAGTGCAGTGATAACAATGACACCTCGAGGCCCAATTATCAAGCCTAGAGAACTCGAACTGAGATCTGGTGAGTTTCTTATTCCTCGAATTCATGCAAGAGGATCAGAGAGAGTTGCATGAAGCGACCGACTGATAGAAACGTGGCCATAGGGGGGAAATGTTCGAATTACACCGTCTACCCACCATACAAACTCGAGGGTTCAATCAACTTGCTCACGTTTCAATGAAATATAATAAGCACATTCTGCACTATTTTAGTACTTGGTTTGGTTGAATATAGGGGCTACTCTGTAAAGAAAATACTCAATTGGCCAATCTCTCGCAGTAATCTCTCAACGAGACAGACTCAGAGTACACCGTAGGGGTCAAAAAGTGGTATATAAATTGTAGATTACTCGATAAATGGGTTTGAAATCATAACACAACATTGCTCAATACGCTTTCCCCCCTGCATTCAAAGACTGTTCCTCGAAAACAGCATTGGCAACGTGTTTGCTCCCTGAATAAACGACGTTGCATACCGAGTGCAGATCTCCACGTGAAGATCTTTACCTCTTCCACTCAAAAGCACTCGATAAGAATTAATTATATAAATGGTGTGTCGTATCCTCTTCTAACATTTCATCTATGTAGTGAAGCTCCTTAAGCTTACAACTATGCCTTCATACCCAGTTGCTACTCTTGCGACAGCTGCCGTTCTTGCAGGTACTGCCCTTGCAGCAGCAGCTCCTATGGCATTGTCCAGCTCAATTGCTTGTCCATTGAGCTTGCCGTTGTCCTGCTCTAATACCACTACTGTTGAAGATCTCTGTTGTTTTGAATACCCTGGTGGTACTGTTCTTCAAACCCAGTTTTGGGACTACGATCCAGCTACTGGTCCAAGTGACAAATGGACTGTCCACGGATTGTGGCCAGATAACTGTGATGGAACCTATGAGCAGTACTGTGACAAATCCATGGAGGTGAGCAACGTCTCAGCCATCATTCAGGCCCACGATTCGGCACTTTTGGCAGAGATGCAAACCTACTGGAAGGATTATCAAGGTGACGACGAGAGCTTGTGGGAACACGAATTCAACAAGCATGGTACCTGCTACTCCACCTTGAAGCCAACATGTGGTAACTTGGGGGAGAACAACGAGAACGTGTACCAGTACTTTAGAATTGCCATGAATCTTTACAGCAAGCTTCCAACCTACGACTGGCTTGCAGAGGCTGGTATTGTTCCAACCAACGACAAGACTTACACAAAGGATGAGATTATCAGTGCCTTGAAGTCCAAGTCTGGAGCTGAACCATATATTGGTTGTAACAGTGATAACGCTATTGATGAGGTCTGGTACTTCTACCACCTTCAAGGATCTCTCCTTGGTGAGGATTTTGTCGCAATTGACACCTTGACCTCTTCAAAGTCTTGTTCATCCACCGGTATCAAGTACGTCCCAAAGAGCTCTAACACTGTCACACCAGTTACTGGAGCCACCACAACGACCGGCACCTCTGCCACCACAGCAGAGGCTTCACCATCAAGCACTGGCTATGTCAAGCTTACAGGACAGAACGGTTGTCTGATCAAAAATGGAAAGTGGTACGTCAGTGGTACCTGTGCCACTTACACGTTGACTCAGCTGTCCACAGGCTCCTACACCTTGAAGAGCAAAGCTGGATGGTGTACCATTGATTCAAAGACCCTACACTGTGGATCCGACGTCTCCTCACCATTCGAATTCGAATTCGATATCGATTCTCAGATCTTGGTCGCCAACGGTGGCACCCAATTCAGCGCCGCCAATGTCCCAACCGGTACAGAACAAGTCGAAGTCACTCAAGGCGAAGGTGCCGTCAACTTTGAGCTCCAGTGGAACTCTTGGGACTGCTAGTTTAAGTATATAACATCAACACTTGAAGAGAATTAGTGCGAGTAGAAACGTTAGCTTTGTTATACGCCCTCAGCAGCCTTTATGCACAAGGCAAACTTAATTATCTGTTCTGACAATTACGCTGGAATGGGGAAGTTGCGTAAATAACAGCACGTCCCATTCACAGCGGCTAAAAAAAAGCACACGCACTAACAACAACCGAAAACACAATACCGAGCTCTTCATTCTCATCGAAACCACAAGAGAAAACAACGAGACATCAACACATTTTGTTGTGAGACACTTGGCTATAATCGATCACAAGCTTCTCAATGTCAGCGGAAGAGGTTATACAGGGGCTCTCCCAGGTGCGTGGCATGCTTTCGACACAGCCGGATACTTTCCCTCAAGTTATACAGGCTGTGTGTGGCATGGCATCTACAACACCGCATCTGGAGGTTCAGCAGTGGTGCTCCAAGTTCTTCGTCGATACGTTCAGTTCTGAGTTCACGCTGGTGCCATGGAGTACGAAGCAGAACTCTCTTGCGTCTCTATTACCGGTGCTGATGACTCTCTCGAGCGTTAAGGATGTATATGTGTATAAGAACGTTGTTCTAACGTCCACGTGTGTATATGACATGGCGTTTGATTTGGTGGCGAAGGTCTCGAACCAGAGCATCTGGAACGATATGACCGCCCTCAAGACGAAGATTATACAGGATTGGGATACTACGTATCCACTTACGCCGTCAAATGACGACACGGATAAGTTTAAGTCCATTGGATCAAGGTTGGCGTCGACGAAGTTCATCTCCAAAGTCATAGTTGTACAGAGTGCGCCGCTACAGAGCTCGGATCCAAGGCGTAGAGCCACGAGTGCGTCTAATGAGATCTCGATAAACCAAGTTCATCCGAATCACACTGTGCTGAACAAGCTTGCGCTAGACGTGGAGGCGCAGAAGTTGCTGGATACAATCACCAGCTATCTACAAGCAGAAGAGTACCTTGTGCCCCAGGTTCTCATTGCGATCATCGAGACGTTGGTCTGTATTATTCAAAGACGTAAACAGTTCATACCGAAGGTGTTCCAAGCAATTGCATCGTTGGACCTGGATTCGAAGTATCAGCAGTCGAAGGATAAGTTCATCAAGTTTAAACTGATGAAGAGATTTGTTGAACGTGCAATTAAAAACGCCCTCAACTATTGCATGAAAGCAGGACTAATCACACCTCAGTTACCGCAAAATGGTACGTTTCAGACAATGGTTTCGAGTATTGATGCCAGAATGGCCGAGCAGAGGAAGAAAGGTATACTTACCGAGCTTCCAGGCGAGAAGGCACGTAGAAAGATCAAAGTTGATCCAAAGAACCCCTTTCCTCGTGACGCTACCACTGTGGAGGACAACTCGTACACGTCCTTGTATCAACTGATCGACGAGACCAATCCATTGTTGGACTTTGATGCATCTTTAATTCCTCAAGAAACCCTGGCCAACATCGCCATTGCTACAATTGCAAGTGTGGATACGAATAAGCTGATTACTGCGCTGAGTATTGTGTCGGCACGGTACACCGATCTAATCACAAAGGCTGGTGGCTCAGTGTTGAAACAAGAAGTCAAAGATGAGGACTTGAAGGATGACGACTTGGACAATGAAAGGATCTTGAATGCCAACGATGATTTCAACCTGGAGAGTACTTTTGTCCTTCCAGAGCCTAAGCCCTTCACGGAAGAGCAGAAGAAGAGGCATTTACAGCTCATTATCAACAATTTCTTCGACTTGTCCAAACTGCCTGCGAACCATAAGAGTATCAGCTCCTTCAACGTTCAGAATGAACAAGTTGCCACGAGTGTTAAGGTTGCTGACGTTGCTATCAACGAATGGGGCAAAAACTCATGGTTACTGCTGTTGAGTAGGCTGGCTACCCGAGGTATAGCGTCCGAGGACCACGAACTGGGTGACCTGATTCGTGAGGCAATCTATCAGTACTTTGTCGATAACATTCACGAAAGAATTGACGTGGCTATCGAATGGTTAAACGAGGAATGGTTCACCGAAGTCACTACAAACTCCTCGAGCGACGACACCTCCAGAGCCCTCGTGGAGACACCAACGTATCTCAAGTGGGCTGAGAAGGTGCTGGACTCTGTCATTCCATTTTTGGAGTCCAATGATCGAAAGATCTTCATCCGTCTACTATCAGATCTCCCCTTCCTGAACGCACACTTGGTCAGCCAGATCAAGTCTCTCTGCATAGATCCTCAACGGTCGGCTCTGGGGTTCCAGAGCCTCCAATTCCTGATTCTCTTCAGGCCACCGGTGAAGCAGGCGTGTATCGAGATTCTCCGGGACCTCTACGAGAACAACGAGGACCTGAAGACCACTACGGCATCGTTGCTCAAGAAGTACGACACCGAGTTCAAACCTGTTGATGAGCCAAAGTCCACGGAGGACTCACAGCACACAGCACAGTCCAAGTCCAAAGAGACAACTGCTGAATCGGAAGCGTCCAAGGATTAGTATAGCGAGTAAATTACACAGGGAGGCCTCTCTGTTTGGAATGCTGCTTTGTAGTGAAGTGCGTAGGCTGGGCTGCGCAGCCCTGTGTAGAGTGTGTGCGTAACGGCGAGCCTGGGGAGAGCCTTGGGCGACATCGCCTAGCAAATTAGGGGCCAGCACTCGACCAGAACAAGCCTTGAGGAGCCTAGAGGAGCCTGGAAGGAGCCTGGAAGGAGCCTGTGGTTGTATTACAGTTGAAGATCATCAATGGCTGGAAAGGAAGGCCCCTCTGTGGATAGGCAAGCGAACCCTTATAACTACATCGTTGTCATAGATGCTGGCTCCAAGGGCTCAAGAGCTCATCTGTACAGGTCGTCGCTGTTCATGGAGA